GATAGTCCTCATTTAATACCTTGCAGCAGTTTCTTGTTTCTAATTTTCTCTTTTACTTTTACTTCATTTGTATTATTCTGGTGTGGTTCTAGGGCAGAAGTTCTAAAGGATATAATTTTGGGCAGCTCGGACCAGTTCTCCACTTTGAGTCCTTACAATAGCACGACGAACAATACTATCAACTCCTGGTAGTACTTTAACTATTCGACCAAGTGGCCAAAGTTGTCTTTTTTATCGTCGTCTCCAATGAGAACTACGTCGCCTTCTTTTAGAGGGGTGACTTTTTTATGCTTTTGTTTTGTACATAATGTTTCCAAATATTCTTGACGAAATCTTTTTCTAAATGCTTCCTGTACTGTTTGAATATATTGTAACCTTTGCTGTAAACTATTTGAATTTGGATTCATTTTAAGGTCTGGTAAGGTACTACTTTTGATTTCCTTGAGAAAATTTACTGGTGTAAGAGGAGTAAGACTTGGATCAGATGATACTGTAGTTAAAGGCCTTTCATTTAAAATAGCCTCACAATTGCATAAAGCTGTAATCATTTCTTCGTAGCTTAAACTGGGTCTTCCTAGAGTTTTCTTTAAAATATTTTTCATCATTCCTACAAGTCTCTCCCACCAACCTCCCCACCAAGGAGCATTAGGTGGTATAAACTTCCAAGTTATGTGTTCTCTTGCTTCAAGGAAAATTTTCTCAAAATCAATTAACGCAAAAGCACTGGCAGCTCCTTTAAAATTAGTTCCGTTATCACTGTATACCACTGAAGGTTTCCCTCTGCGAGCAACAAAACGATGAAAAGCTAGTAGAAATGTCTCCGTTGACATGGATGTTACTAATTCTAGGTGGACGGCACGATACATCGCGCAGGTAAAAAGAGCAATCCAAGCTTTTGAGTTATCTCTTAGAATCACTGGGCCAGCAATGTCCATGCCTGCTATCTGAAATGCAGGAGCGTCTTGAACTCTATCTGCTGGTGGTGGCGCAGTGGGAGGATTATTACCTTTAGCTGAAAAATCACTTGTAAATAATGCAAGATCTCAATACATGTTTAACGGCTCTCCTTCCGTAGAGAAGCCAGTATTTCTCTCTTAAAGAATTTAAAGTGTATTAGACACCAGCATGCCCATTTCTCCGGTGATCTTCTAACACCAAACTTTCCACGAGTGGATGTTCTCCTGGGAAGATTGCTGGACGTTTTAAATTCTTCATGATAATCTCTTCTGAGTACAGCTGATTTCAATCGTATAATTCCATTATCAAAAAATGTCCAAAGATTGTAATCGTTTATCTCTTAACCCACCGAAAGATTCTTGCTGTATTAAATACACTATTGTTTTCTCTGCTTCATTGATATCAGATACACTGAGATTCCCTTTTTTATTTTCTTGCTTATGTCGACAATTGTAGACAAATATCCTTATCCAACCCATGATGTTTACTGCTTTTTTATAATCCGCAAGATGAGAATTTAGGAAAGTGCTCACTCCAGCAGTCAACATAGGAGATACGAGTTTCTTCATTCGTTCTCTGTTTACTTCCTCTTCACATGTAATATCTTCAGTGACAGGCCACATTTCTTGAGGTAGATAGAGCCACGAAGGATCCCTCCCACCATTTCAAAGACGCAAAATGTCGTGCAGAGCAACCTTTGCTAGGAAGATCTGCTGGATCCATTGTACCGGGAGCATATCTCCCGGTTTCTTTAGATGTCTAATCTCTCTTTTACTTTATTATGGACGAAAACGCCCCACGTATCTTCTCTTCTTATCCAAGCGAGTACAGTCATTGAGTCGGTCCAACAGTAAACCTTTTTAACTGGAAGATCTTTTAGCATGCTTGACAAAAGTCGTGCAGCGATAGTAGCACCAAGAAGCTCCAATCGTGCAATGCTAGTTCTTCTTTTTCCATAGGGTGAAATTATTGCTCTAGCCTGTATAAGTTGAATGTACACTGAGTTTTCTTTTTCAACACGAAGAAAGACTAATGCGTATGCAAATTGACTTGCATCACAAAACACATGTAAAGAACGGTTATCATTTATTTTCACAAAAATTTGATCGATCTTGGGACTTAAACTTTAGACAAAAAAAGGTACATCTTTCTTCCATTTAAAAAATTCTTTCTTTGTATCTGCATCTACTTCCTGATCTCAGCTGATGTTTGCTTTCCATAAATGTTGCAAAAGAAGTTTGGGAATTAAAGGTTATTGGACAAGCAGTCGCCAAAGAATCAAAAATTCTGTGAGTAGCAGCTAGAATACTTCTTTTCGTTATATTCTATGTACACAGATTCTCGAAACTGGATATATTCACTTGGAGGGTTATCTCTTCATTTTGTTCCATATTAATCAAAGAACATTTGTAGAGGTAAGAGAAAGTCTTGAAGAATCTGTATTTTCCCATCTTCTCAAATCGAACTGTCTTTCTACCATTACTTCTGAAGCCACTGTTATGAAAGTTTGTAATTCACATTCATCTTTCACACTCGTGACACAATTGTCAACGTAGAAACTACTACGAAGTTTCTGTATAATTTCTTTTGGATAAATGGACTGTCCTTCTACGCATTGGTTTAGAACTGTCTATAAATGATGCTGAATAACGCGTCTCTCTAAATATAGTGCGGGCTATTAAAAGCAAGCATATTTAAAAAAAAAAAAAAAAAGAGTACAGAAAAGACCTGAAAACTAAAATAACCATAAAAATAATAAATCTAGCTTTAAAATCCAAAATACGCTCCACTGTTCCGAGTCAAACCAAAAGGTGAGCCTAAGTTGCCGACTGGCTGCAAAGAAATCTAAATGCCTTGCTTCATCTTGAAGACATAATGATGGTGTTTGTATATACTCGACCAATATTAATTTCAATTAATTCATTTGTCCTGGATGGCCCAAGGTTAATTTTTTTGGGTTAGCTCTCTATTTCTCAGCAGACGTTGCTATGGAAACCAAGCGACTTCTTCAACGAAGCTATTGTTCCTATTTCTCATTTGAATACACCCCGCCCAGACAGGAAACGATAGAAGGGACTTCAAATGTTACTGATAGAGTCAGTCTGATTCTATCAGTGACGCCTGGAGTCCCCTCTATTTGCGTCTTTCTGATCTTACTGTAGTTGTAATCGGCTGTACTTAACTTTATTTTAACTCATGTTCCTTTAAAAGGGTTCTTTGTATATAATTATTAAATCTTCTTAAAAGAGGGTTTTAAACTTGGCCTTAAAACAATTAACATTGTACTAAAATTAGAGAGCTGTTTTAGCGAACAACATACTAAATACGATCCGGCGCTATATTGGCTATTGAATTTGTCACCCTCGAAAGTTGTCCCCCACCCCCGCCCCATCCGGGACTGATTTTCGATTTGCATCTCGGGGTGCGTAATCTAGAGTGGTCAAGTTTTCCTTTTTAAATCCGATACGATGAGAAATACCGATGGTTATTTTCCTGTACTTAGAACGGATGATGCCATCTTTTGCATATATCTCAGTTTTGTCAAAAGGAAGGGAAGTAAAGGCAAATTGGTTAGAATAATGTACGGCATAGAAGAGGAATGTACAAAACGGGCCATATTATTCTCATCGCAGTTAAAACAACAATAACTCCGAAGAATATCCCAATAACATTTTATTTGACGTATTAAAAACTTATTTTTCTTATTATTTGTTTTTATTTTCTTTTTTTTTTAATAAAACATCTAAATGATTTTTTCTATTTAAAAATTCTTTTCTTCTATTAGTATTTTTCGAAACATAAGTTATCTTTTCCCCTTCTGTAAAAAATCACCAGACTGCATAATAGTTGCAGTAATATACAAGTACTTAAAATAGAAAGAAAAATTTAAATAGAGGGAAATTATGCTAATATTACTGGTAAAATTTTTCTATGGCTCGCGTAAAGAATCACTTCTACCCATGTATCAGCATTATATGCATATAATACATAAATTGTAAGTGCTATAATTTGAACGATGAAAAAGTAAAATGTATTAAACAGAACTACATATGTATTCTAAATCATCATTGTTGCAATACATACAGATTGCTAAAGCAAATAAGAAATCCTACGATTGGGATGTATGCAGGTAGTCATTTGCACATGAAAGTCTGTTGTTGTCTTGTCCATATTACATGAAAGAATGGTTGCCAGAGCTACTCCTCAAAGTGTATTAAAGACACGTATGCTTTTCCACTTATGTTAGAAATAATATGAGCGATCTGATCCAAGCATTGGCGGCACATGCTGCCATCTAGGGCACTGATTTTTCAGAAGGCAAACCTAAGCTTTTCTCAAAAGCAGCCGTTAAATAAACATTTAGTATATTTAATTCATATGTAGTCCTAGCCGTAATGACCACTTACGATGTCGAAAATAATGATAGCAGGGCGGACAGACCAAATACAGAAAGTAATTTATAATCATAACTCATTTAAAAATTCACATATTAATCCACATTAATCAGAATTCCTATGAATGAGTTACATATAGCAGGTGATTTCATGCACAAATGTGTTAAAATGCTAATGAGAAACCTCATGAATGTGATATCTGTCATGAGTGGTTGAGAACTGAAAGTAAATTAAACAAACACATAATTAATCACAATAGCAGCAAACCACATGAATATAATATATATATATGATATGGTATTTGCTGAAAACATCGCGGACGAAAACGTGCCGGAGAAAACAACGCAAGGCGAAAACGTCGTGGTACGAAACATAGTGGGAGTAAAGAAAGCAAAGAGAAAACATCGCAGTTCTTTAAGCATCGTGGTACAAAATATCGTCGTCGTTGAAAATAAAGCAGTTTAATAACTTCAGAGATTGAAGACATCGTCGCTGGAAATATTGTGGTAAAAATCAAAGCTGATACAAATCATCGCATGACGATAACATCAGGCTTTACAAGTTGTAAATACATATGCGTATAATGAATGATAATTCATAATTTTGAATTACTGAACACATTTTTGCTGAAAACGTGAGAAGGAAACCTGAACATTTAAAAACTGAAAATGAATAGAACATTGCTATAACTTATATCGCTTAACAGAAGTTTTAAACTTACATAGTAAACTAATAAAGGTCATAAATAAATTAATCTTCTTTTATAAACGTTTACTGATAATTTTTCGAGAAAAATATTTTCTAAAAAAGTTCAGAAAAAGGAAGATCTGTAATTGTATGAGAATTACTTCTATAAAAATTGTTTAACTAATTGTCAAATTATTTTCTTCCACTTTTGTTAATCTGATATTCTTTTAGTGAAAATTATGTGTTTTGGTTCCGTTTATTCTTTAAGCGCCGTTAACATTTTATGTACAGCGTGCAGTCAATCTTTCGGATTTCTATTTGTTAGCTATGATGAAAGTCAACTACATAATATTTCAGCCGGCTATATGGATTTATTGAGTTACACAAAAGCACTATCTGCTTAAACTATCTATCTAGGACTATCTGCTTAAAGGAAGGAACGCCTTTGTGGAACACCTTTTCAGGAAGTGTTCATATCCACGTTATACATTAAGAAAAATCCCGAGAATCTCATTTAGCCACCTCTTTCGCCCTGCCGAAATACCAGTGTTCAGCGACTTTACCGTTCGGTCATTCTTTATACATCAATCATTGAAAGATTCAGATTGAAAAATTACACCCAGAAAATTTAAACGCATATTTTTATTCCTTTTCTTTTCTTTTTTTTTTTTAAGAAATAATACATAATTCCAGTGAACCCTCTCGGAAACATTGGTATCTTCCTAAGACGACCAGTGTTTCTGATATCAGAAGTAATCATAAATTTTATTTCTTATGTAAGAGAACGCAAGATTGGACAGATATGGTATCTTGAGTATTCGCTTTAAAAATTATTCTTTATATTTAACTTTACATTTAGAGATTTCTTACAAGCACTTTAAAAGTGTTATTTAATTTTGAGGATATATTTTATTCGAAAATTTAACTTTTATAACATACAGAGAACCATTTTCTTCAGGCGAACAACTCTATAAATGACCAGTATAGTTTTGAAACTTTGGCATTTAATCTCATCTTTCTAAGACGACCAGCTTCATAGAAGAGAAAATCATGTGGAACCGTAAATCGTCGCCTTACAGAGGGTTAACTGAGCTTCAACATTTAGGTCTATTTATGCCCTTTAGTAAACGTTTAATTTTTTCATCCTTTTATGTGAAAAATAGTTTTATTTCTTGTTCTTTCTTAAGACATATTTAATCATTTTGAAGCAAAAGGAAGTGACCAGTAACCGATTTAGGGTGAAAGGACTTTTTACATGTTGATAGATAGATATTTTATCCTGTCTGCCGCTAAACTGTTATGGAACTACCACTTAGGTTTAGTTTGGTTTATTTTATAAGGGCAAAGCACACTAGGGCTATATACCTAAGAGGAAGAATGCCTTCGTGGAGGACTTTCTAAGGGAAACTTGCTCGTATGCACATTACACATGAGAGAAATCACGAAAATGCCAATGCAGCCAGCCCGTTCCCCTGGATTTGAACCCAAGTCGGAACTACCAGTATTCAGCAATTTTACCGTTGGGCCGTTGGTGGGTCTAT